CAGAGAGTTCCTATCCCAAACCACAATATTGGTTCACTTTCACACTGTTGAGTATTACAACACAAAGATGCAGTATCTCAAATTATTTTTACTTCTTCAAAAGTTAGTGTACAAGTTTTTAGTCTATTTCATTTTGAGTCTGAACTGTGGAACTTCACTGGCATCATCTAGTTTGAATCAATTCATGTATTTCACAAGAGAACTCTAATTATTATCTAATGGCAGAGTTATAGTTCCAGTGATTTATCAAAAGCCTCTAAGTTGGCCAGCTCCTTCCCAAACATCTCCCCATCAAATATTCTTACATTATACTAGCATATACTCTACAAGTTAAAAAGTACCATTAGGAAAGAAAAGAAAATGTACAGGAAAATATGATGTGCTAAATCTAAATTAATAGATCCTACTCAAAGACTTTCTGTTTCTTACGATCTTTTAGGATAGGCTACAGAACACACTTCTGTACAGAGTCAGTCATTAGTGATGTTTAAAGAAGATTAACTCTTTCTTGCACCTTTCTGCTTTGGCTTTAGAGAGCCCATTGTATTCCTGTAACCACTCTTGATAATAAAAGCTTGGATGCATCTTTCACCAAAAACGAAACCCAAAGAACAAAAAGAGAGAAAGGAAGAACAAAACAAAAAACCACACACAACCAGAGAGCACAAGGGAGCAAGAAGTACTTCTGTTCTTCAATTCTTGCAATGTTCTGCTACCTTGTATTACTGCAGCTGTAAGAGCAGCCAGGGGGCAGATGTTAATGTTGATAACCCAGGGTCTCTTGCCAGCAGCTTCCTGCAGGTGCAGGAAGAGATTGGTCAAAGGCTAATGCAGTCTATTCATTAATGTCATGTTTTCCTGTACCTAACCCCAGTTACCTCTCAGTGGTGAACATCACACTTCCCTTGGGTAGCTTGTTGACCCAAGAGTCAGGCTTTTGTGGCTTCAATCTTAACACTTTGTAGTTCTCAGCCTAAACCACATTAAAGCACTATTCTCTACAGGCTTTTGAGCAAAAAGCTGTGTGGCTTTCCATGGGTGTTGACACAGTGAAACTGGAATTAATTTTTTTGCACTAATATCAATTTGAAAAACTCCCAGTTAATGAGAGTCTTTGTTGGCTTTAAAGGTTGTCGTTTAGATACAGGCTCTGTACTGTTGGATCCCAGAAACCTTAAAAAAATTCTCACACTGTACTTGAGTCTTCGTCATATCATAGGAACCCTACATAATTTGGAAGGCACTAAAGGACATTTATTTCCCAAAAACAAGCATTGTGTGCTGGTTTGGGTTTTTGGGTTTTTTTCAGGAACCTGATCCAGCTTTATCAGCATGAAGAGAACAGATGACATTTTATGGAAACTTTGATTTCATATCTTTAAAATGAACATGTTCAAGAATATTAACCAATATAAAAAGTTTAAAAAATTGAGCATAAATAGGTAAAGACTATGAAGATTTCCAGTGTATGTATTATTAATCTCCTTGGCCACAGAATAGGAATTAGGACAGGGTCATATATCTGTGTTGTAAATATTTCTTATAGAGAAAAATTACATCAGAGTTTCTCATATACAAACCTAATTAAACTGCTTGTAAGATACGTACCCCTGTGTATATCAATTTTTCCATGAGTGCTACCTGTAGAAGGTTACTAAAGTGTAAATCATAGTACATCAAGACCTCTATGCTTCAGAAATCTGGTGTTAAAGTATAGTGCAACTGAAAGCTGAGAAGTTGGTAATGAGTTAATCCTGTCTGCTTCATAAAATGTGTTGCATCATGCTTTCAGGTGGGTGCATGTACTTTAAGTAAATTACACTTCATGTTGCTTGAAAGTAATGAATGCTAATGATAGATAATGATGTTTTGTTTCCAATTAGCACTGCCAAGAGAGTCAGTGGTTTCTAGAGCTCATGATCACTGTATTTTCCAGGAACAGTCTGAGAACTATAAAATTATATAAACAAGTATTATTTATGCTGAATGCATTTGCTGATTGCTCCCTTCTCAGTTGGCCATAATGCAAATGCAACTACATCTCTCTGTAGTTCAGTAATTTAAAAAAAAAAAAAGGACCTCATGTTTGTAAAGCCATAGTGTATCACACATTTTTTATAAACATCATCCATTGTTTACTTTGTCATAAAACAAAGAAAAATGTCTACAACAAAGTGCATATCATAGATTATAGTGAGTATTCAGAGAGGTTTAAAATAAATCAGATCAGATAAGCAGTCTGGCCCACAAAACATGAGTTTAAGTCTGGTATTTCATAGTAAGAAATAAGTTTTATTCACTTACATATTCTTCAAAATACTCTTCAATATGAGTTGGCTAGGAATTTGAAATGCCGTTTTGGCTCAAATCTGTGTTCAGGGAAATAAAGTTGGAGGACTTAGATGACAATCATGTGTTGTGTCTTTTCAGGAATGTGTTAAGTATTGTGCTCACATACTTAAAATATGCGGTATGTAACAAATCACTTCCTGTTATAGTAATACAGCTTGCTTCTTATTTCATGATTGTTTGTGTATTAGCTTAGTATTCTGTTGATAGTTTATTTCAGTTCGGAATGTTCGCTGCAGGATTTTTATCTCACATGCTTATTATCTCTATGATTGTGTCTTTCTTTCTCAAATAAAAATGTACAACACCAATAATGTAGCAGTGAATCTTTTACCTGCTCTTGCAAGTCTTTTGTTCTGCTGGATGTTAAGTTGATGGGTAATAGCCCAAGGCCCTCATCAGTGATCACTGAAAGCAGTCCTGCTGTTTATAAGTTACTGGCCTTTGAATTGGCCTCCTTTTAAAGCTAACCATTGAAGTCAGCTGCTTTGGTTTGCAAAACATATCAGGAAGAAATATTAGCATCTTACCTGCTGGCAGAAGATAGGAGTTCTTGTATTTCTTTTCTTTTAACACCACTCACTAGTCCTCCTCTACCCAGGAAAGGAGGCAATATGCCAAAATGCAACTTCTAAAATTACCTTTTCATAGGGTTGTCAGCCAGAGCTGGGTGGTATGTCATGTGTCTGTTCTCAACAGTGCAAGTCATTTCTTACATCTAAGCCAAGAGCTTTGTAGCTATGACTAGATAAATGATTTAACCCTGATGCTGCAGTGCTTTACTTCACCTTACATAATCCTGTAATTTAATTTAATTGACTACTAAAATAATTGCAAAATAGTTCAGAATTACTATTGTGTTCTACAAATAAAAGATGTATTCTTCTGTTTGCTTCTTGCACCATTTCAATAGGAGGGTTTGTATATTTAAATAATTAATTTTCAAGCAACTGGGATTTCATTAGTGGTTTCCATTTTCCAGGAAGCCTTGACTGTGATTGTGTCCTGTAGAGCTCAGCTGGCATTGGAAAAAGTCTTGATTAAAGCGTTAATTTCATTCACGTTATTCTAATGTCCATTCTCTGCAACTGCTTTATCAAATGAATTTCATCTGTCTGAGATGCTGGTGTTCTTGGAATTCGTTCAGTCACATGAATGACTTCTGACCAAACTACTGAATTAATGCACAACAATTATATTTTCAGTTTAAAAAAAAAAAAAAAAAAAAAAACAACAAAAAACCAACCCAAACCAAATCCATGGAAGTTTGTAGTCAAAAACATGAGACCTATCTCCAGCCATTTAGGGGATGACATGACCCAAGTAAAAACAGCTTTGCTATCAGTAATCAGATACATGCAGTCAGTATCCTCGGGTGAGATGGAGAGCATGAATTATTTTCAGAAATTATTCCAAGAATAGTTATGGATATCTATTAAGTTCAAGAAATTAAAAATCTGATTACAGGCTGTTTGTGAACAAAGTTAAAATTAGGTTAAAATAATTGTTATAGATTGCTTGTTTATCTCTATTGCACTTCTGAAATATTTCTACTTGCACTCCACTGTCAAGTAAGCTTCTCCCTCAAGTGTAAATTAAGATTTTAAAAACAATAATCCAATATGGAAAATGGCCTGAGCAATAACATTATAATTATAGCAATATTGAGCTGCTTGTCTGCTTCTGTTCATTTTGCAAGAGTCTGTCTCACACAGTATCCAGGAAAAAAAGCAGAAGTAACAGCAACTAAAACTATCAACAGAGAAAGTGTACGTTTTCTGTTTGGTTCACTGCAGATTGAAGAAAGACAATATAGTGTAGTTCATGGTGTTTGCAGATTTTTTTTCTGGGCAGAGACTGATTCTTGTATGTTTACCTGTTACCTGAGAATAGAAGTATCCTGATCTTGCATTTGGTACTAGGTACCAAAAACACAGTGCAAACTATAAATAATAATAAGCAGTGAAGCAAAAATGTGAAAAATTCTCTTCCCATTTAATTATGTCTCAGAGGTGGAATTTTCTGGATGCCCACTCCACCTAATAGCTGGAAATTGCTGATTATCAGGATGCAACTATTATCTGAAGTATTTTGATAGCATATTAATATGACTATACATAATTTTTTGAAACAGTGGGAAAGTGAGTTTGAGTGGGAATATGCTTTATTCTTTAGGATCAAAGCTGAAAACCTGTCAGTGTTTTTGGTAAAGTTAAGTAGTTTCCAGGTTCCATGCCATATAATACAGTCAGTTTTGTGAAAACAAACTATGCTATACAAACTACGAGTTTGGTAACGCATAAATGTTTAGAATGACAGATAAATGAGGATGACACGCCTTTTGTTGGTTTAACAACACTGAATGATACAGTGGTCTTTTTTCAGACCTCATTTTGGCAGGAAGAATTTCTCTCAGTCTTTGTTACATCTCCAGGTGCATGTATTTAGGATGAAATTTGTTTTGTGCTGAGTAATTAAGAAATGTGATGGTACATTTTCTTTTATAGCTCTAAATATTCGCTGTGCCTTAAACTAGCTGGTCTATGCTATCATATGAAACTGTTAAAATGCCTTTTATTTTGTGAGCTCTGATTTTGTTTTGAGTTGATTACACGTGATAATAGTGACATGGCTATCTGAATCTGTTACAGTGTGCCTGAATATTATGACTATGGTCACGGAACAAGTGAAGAGGCTTATGACAGCTACGGTAAGGTCTCTTCTATCTTCTGCAAATGTATGAAATCAAAGGAAAATATCTATCACTGGCAATTCAGAAATTATTTCTATACCCTTTTCTTTATTTCTCTCATTTTACAAAGGCCAAACAAAATAGATTTGTGTAACTTCAGGGTGAGTTTTGATGTAGGACCAGAAAATTGGACTGATGAATTTCAATCAAAATTACAATGCAAATTACTCACAGTCACAGGTCAGTTTAACAGGAACACAAAAGTTTCTATTTGTGCTTGAATATCTTTCACAGTATTAAATTTCAGTCTGCTTGATGTGCCAACAATACTGTGCATCTGCTACGGTCATGTGCATCATTTCAACCAGCAAGATTTGTGAAATTTAGAAATACAGACTTAATCAAAGTGGAAATAAAGAGAGGGTGCTGTATCACCATGGGAACCCCTACTTCACCAAGGTGTCATGCCACATTAGGCAGTATGAGTAGAGGAAGGGCTGTAGTCTTTGCACTTCCCCACTAAGTCTATGTCTGAGGTGGGACAGTTCTACTTCATGGGTACGAGAGGCACAAAAGGAAGAGAAGTGTAGCTCCCATGAGTAAAAACCATTTTCTAGATCTGTCATTTGCTGTTAGTGATATATTTCAATAACTAGAGTCTAGACCATGTTTTCCTATTAATAATTATCAGTACATTGTGTCAGGTGGCACAGTGAATCTCACTCAGAGATTTTCACTGAAATAACAGAGCAAAGCTGACTATTGTCTGCTTAAAGAGTGACCCTAATATTCAGCAGAGATGTCATGCCTGATTTACTGCTTCTAAAGTATCCTAAGTCTACATGGTGACTTCCACAGCATTGTGAAAATGAGAGCTGCTGGAAATGATGCTGCAAATGGAAGTTACACTAAGGGATTATATAAGGGTTGCTGCGTGAAATAAATAATTTTATTTATACAGCTGTGAAGCAAATGTCACTAATGCAAACTTGCAGTTTCCTTTGTATTGGTACAGAAATAGACATTACTGAGATGTTGTCAAAATGATTGCATTGCATAATCAGAAATAACTTATTTTTTGTACAATCAGTTCTCACAATATATTTGGATGATACAATGTGCAGTGAAGCATATTTTCAATGCTAGGCAAAGAATAGCTTATCCATATGAATGTGAGTGGTTCAGTTATCCTTTGTTTTGCTTCCTTTTTACACATACATTTTTAATAGTTGTAGTGGAAGATCCTTCCTCCCATCTACAGATTCCCTCTCCACTGCTGTCCTGAATGTACCACTAAGCTTTTGGGGAATGCAGAAAAGAATAGTCTGAGCTCAGCAGTAGGAATTACTCACTGTTTAACTTTTAATTACACTCCACCATGCTGAATCTCCATGTATTTGGGCAAGACATTTAAAGTAGTGTCACTTTCCTTCCAATCCCTCATTTGTAAAACTAGAAGAATATTACTTGTTTTCCCAGCAGGGATTTTGAATGGACTAATTAGCTAAGGCTTACAAAGTGTTCACAGAGTGGCATCATGACTAAATTTATGCTCTGCATGAAACTCCTTTTTTTTTATTTTCCATTCAGCAGCTGAAACAAACCCAATATGCCTGGGTTTCTTTGCTAGACTTAAAATACATGACTGATAACTGTGGACTTGCTTTGTTTTTTGCTTGAACTATTTTCTGTGTTGGCATTTGAATACAAAGACCCTCAGGTTATCAATAATCTGGAATAAGCTTAAAGTTTGATAATATTTCATACTGCAATTTTGCTACTTTCTGAAAGCAGATACATTTACATACTACTGTTTATGCTACTCTTGGTTCACTTACTTTGGGAATTAGTAAATTTGCCACTTTCATGCCTTGGAAATCTGTGCAAGAACTTCTGTCCTTCCTAAGTCACCACTATTTATCTGAGGAGGTAATTAGAGTACACAGAGCTATAGAGCTATAGAATACATGCTTAACTTGTCAGTTTTTGAGTTCTTGCTGCATACACTGATGTTCTCTCTCTCTAGTATCTATCACCTTATCCTCACCTAACTTTACCCTAATTCTCTGTTTCCAGTTCTCTATTTTTTCACGATATTTTGTAATTTTTGTAACTCATTGTGAGTATCCTGAATCCATCCCACTGTATAAAATCAGCTGTCCCTTAATTTTTCACCATCCTGCAGAAATTGACAGTTTTTCTTTTATTTGAGTTGTATGTCACACCTTGTTGTGCCTTCCATAACAAGGCTCTTTTCCTCCTTTACAATTCTTTCTGGAATACCTCTGTAATTCCAAATTTTCCCAAACTCTGAATAAGACCACAGACAAATGGTACATGAATATAGTCTTGTTGTCAACTTTTAGGCGTTTTGTGCAAAACTTGTCTTTTCTCCCTTATCCTTTTCTATAACAATATCTGAATTATTAAAAATTTACTAGCTTGGCATTTTTTTACTTTTTTCCATGCATCCTCTTGCTTCCAACTTGCCTTTAGGGAGGACAGTTTTCAATCCTGAGAACATTTTCTTTTGTTTTTTGTGAAATAGATTCAATGAAATAGTAATGCTTCTTCATGCTTACAGTCTTTTTAAAGTATAAAATAAAGTTCTCTGTAGCTTCTTAAGTACAGAGCACAACAGTAGTCCTGTATGAGCTGCTTACTGGCTTTTCTTGCTATCTCTACTCCTGAGAAGTAGCAGGTGGTATACGTCTTGTGGGTTCATCTCTGCTCCTTTTAAAAGAACTTTTGGACAATTCTGATTGGGGAAACTGTTTCTTCAGAAGATCATAAGATTTATGTATTTATGGATTTTTCACAGTATAGTTCCAAAGATCAGAGAGATATTTCAGAGCAGAGCCCACCTGAAAAACATTTAATTCTCAGGAAGTTCACATCTCTTTGATTAGATGGAGGTACTAAACAAGGAAGACTCTAAGTCACTTGTCATAGATTGGGCAAGATGGATTCCTAAGCAGCATTCACTGCTGTAAAATCTATAACTTAACTGCATTAACTCCGTGCTCAGTTTATTTTGTGAAGGTTCATAAGAATTCCATCCCCTCCAAATCCAGCCAAGGAATCTCCCAAGACAATAGGAATATCAGGGATGTATGTAAAATCGCACTATCCATGATTAAGGGATGTTCCATGAATGAAAATTTGCAGTACAGAACCCCCTCATGAAGTTAGACATTTAACTCTGTTGTGATTTGACATGTTTGTCACCCAGTCTCTCAGAAGGATCAACGTAGAGACACTTCACAGCATTCCCTGCAGCAGTGTCTGAGCACATGGAAATACAGTACTCAGGAATTATGAGATTCCTACAATTGTTTTATAAGATCAGGATTATGCAGCTACTGCTAGAGAATTTTGAGGATCGCTGTTCCAGGCTGAGGAACATAAATTTAGGACATATGCCTGAAAATCTTGGGAATGTAGCTCTTACAGGCTTCTCCATGTGCATTGGAAAGAAGTATCTTTAGAAGGCATTTTAAAAATAAAAGACTAGTAATTTAAAGTACTATAGAAGTTTTCAAAAATGTAAAGCGTCCTCACCTCTAATCACACTCAACAAACATTTATGATGCTTCTGTCACTGAAGTTTTGATACCTGCAGATAAGTCTAAACTAAAGTAACAAGGTCATGTTAACTTGATGCTTATGTTTTAAAAGAGAAAGCATGAAATTTGATTAATTTATGAAGAAATGGTTTATATTATTTGCTCTCATTATACATTAGTAATTTTGTGGTTTCCCTTCTGGCACTGTTGTCATCTGAAAAGACATCTAGTGAAAACATGAATTTAACTATTCATGTCTCACAGATCAATTAGGATAAAACACCTAAAGTTTGGTAACTATGAATCTTTCCTGCTCATATATAATGTCATGTCCAACTCCAAAAAGCATCTTCCTTGAACAGGACCAGTGTAAATAAAAAGCCCTTTGTAATCAATTCATGTTCTTATTTCTTTCTCCTTTTCCCTGTTGTTTATTTTTAGAGGAAACAGCATTCTTGATTCAAGTTAGGCTGCATTAGAGAGGTAACAGAGAAGACTATATGACTTGCAGGCAAGGCAGAACCAAGGAGCTGTATTTATTAAATCTGACCTGCTTCACTCTTTTTTCATCTGAACCCTTTTTTGTCCTTGTGCTGATCAGAGCATTCCAAACTTTGTTTATCAGCCACTCTTTCTGTCTTAATTCTCCCAAAGGCTGGAGACTCCAGCAGTGAGCTCTGCCAGTTGCTGTTACAGAAGGTTCAAGAGGTTTCTGCCCCTGCTTCCAAAGGGAGACTGCCACAGTAGTGAGTGTGCCTCTTGCCAGACACCACACTTCACAGCTTTCTGCATATCCTGCCTTGTGTATTACCTGAAAATTATGGCCATTATGTTTTTATGTCAGGTCATGAACTGCAGTACTGAGAGACCAGTACACTCAGACTTCTTGTTGCTACTACCAAAAAAGCAGAAACCCTAGACAGAGAGTGAAAGGATGGGTGGAAGTCTATAACCTCCTAAACCACCACAATTAAATTAGGATAACACCATCTGCCAAAGGCCTTAGGCAAGAGTTAGGAAGGTTAATCTGTAGCTTGCCACCTGCACAAAGAGGGAGACATAAATGAACTCTAGTGACATTACTGCTGTTTTTCAGGAGAAACTTGAAAGGCTTTTTTACTGAATGCTCTGCCATTGCATTAAGGACTCATTATTTAAATATTTTGTGTCTTCACCAAAAAATTACAGCTGTTTAGATTTTCTCAAATGACTATGTCTTTTTGATGCATATTCTACTCCAGCATTAGGTACTGGTAAAGAACTGGGTATTTGTTTTTAGGATATTTCCATCTTTAATTAAAATTGGAGAGTGTAATTGTTTGGTGTAATTCCTTTTAATGTAAGACATCATCTAACTTGTAAAATGCTGTCACAATGATTTAACTATTTCACAAGTAATTCCCTTCCGGTCACTCCATATAAGAGCTTTGCAATTGTTATAGCAATTAGTTT